CCCGCCCTGGGTGTGCCAAGACCCGACGGGCACACTCACCATTTCACCCCCACCGGCCTCGGGCGCCGCGCAGGAGCTCACCCCACGTGCGAGGGCTGCAGAGCTGCGGGCGGGGCCGCTGGAGCTGTGCAAACCAGAGGCGTCAACTAAACCAATAAAAAGACACCCCCCCGCCCCCGCCCCAGGAGGGATCCGGGACAGAGGCGCGCCCCGCCCAGGCACACCCTTTCTGCTTCCAGACCTCCCATCAAGACGGACAGGGTAAGAGGTTAATGGGAAGAGGAGGAGCTAAGCAGGAAGGGGACCCCGGGACCCGCACCCCAGCCTTCCCGCGGGACCCGACCTCTGGGAGCCCAGGGTCTGACCCCGCCCCCAGAGATTTGCATATCCCCAGACCCTCCTGATCCTGGGAGGCGCAGGACCACCCAGCGTCTTTCCTGCCTCCCAGCCTTTGACCCTCGCCGTCTCTTCCGCCAGCCACAGGTTCCCAGACTTGGAACCCGGTCCCAGGAACACTCTGGATTGGTCCTTCCGAACTTTCGGTATTTATAGTCTAAATGCCTTGTGGGCACAGTTGCTTCTCCTGGAATTTTATTTGATACGACCCCAGCGAAGTCCCTTATTGGCTGAGCTGCTCAGACTTATACGGGACAACAGGTGACAAGATGACATCCTGACACACCTTACTTGGCTCTGATATCAAAACAGTCTAATTCTTAAAAACTTTGTATTTGTCATAAACAAGTGGATGTGAAATCATATCAAACCAATATACAATTTTTGTGAAATGTCTTCATTTCTAGTGAGGCAATTCTACCCTAAAGCGTATGTTGCCTAATATTAATATATACCTTGTTAAGAAACAAAATTTAACTGACTAAATTTGAAGATCTAATTGGCTTTATTAAGTGATTCACGAATAGGGCAGCATCCCATCTACCAACTAGAAAGAAGGTTGTACAAAATGGAAAGTTGTTATAGGCAAGAAGGGGCTGGTACAAAGAAATTATGTAACAGGGCATAGGGTATAAAAAAAAAACCCTCACATTTAATTAGCTAACTAACCAACAATTAAAAATAAGAATATATTAACAAAACTTATAGTCTAAAATACTAATAGTTTCATATTTAAGCATGTTACAGGCAGCAGCAGTTCCAGTTCCCCTTTTCACCAGCCTTGACCACAGGAGTGTAGCAGATGCCAATGGCAGGCCAGGCCTGCAACATCCTGTCCCCAGGCAGCAATAAAACTGGCAGACAGAAGAAACACACCAGACACTGACACACAGGAAAGAGAACATCGAAACCACCCAAGAGCTGGAATGTGAAACTGCAGATCACCAGAATTCTCCTCTTCCCCCATCCCCCAAAAAACCCCTTTGACTACCCTGAGATATTAAGATGGTTGTTAGGCATGAGCCTGCCATCTTCTCAGGTTGTGGGCACCCCAATAAATCACTTTCCTTCCATCAGCACCTGTGTTATGTGTTAGGCGTAAGGGCAGCAGGGAAAAGAGCTTGAGGGTCATTTGGGCTGGTTTCAATGACACTCCCTACCCTCGCATATGCATAGCCTCCTCCTTACCAACATCACTCATCAGAATCCTACTGTCTCGGTCAAATCCCAGCTCTGTTATGTCCTTGCTATGTGACATTTGGTTGCTTAGTCTCTCTTTGCTACAGTTTGAAGATAATAATAGTACGTATCTGAGGATACATAAGTGAGCATGAGTACCAGCTCTAACATTCTACTTCCCCAAAGGACCTCGATTGCCTATTAACCCATGCTTTTTCCAATGATTTGTGTTCCCCAATTTTGAGCAGTTTTTCTTTTAAATTATTGATTTCAGAGGAGGCAGGGAGAGAGAGAGAGTGAAACATTGATGTGAAAGAGATACATTGATCAGCTGCTTCCGATGTATGCGCCGGGATGGGGTTTCAAACCTGCAACCTAGGTATGTGCCCTGACCGGGAATGGAACCCGCGACCTTCCGGTACATGCGAAGGGACGACTCTCCAACCAACTGAGCCACGCCGGCCAGGCCGTATGTTCCCCATTTTTAGTAGTCAACCTGCCCCCACCAAAATATAAGCTTTCCTTCGTTTCCCATCATCTCTCCAGTACCTAGAACAGTGCCTGTTGAAACGGAAGCGCTGACTTGGAAAGACGAAAGAATATAAACGGCAGACTGGCTAGCAGAGGTAGCGCTTCATCCGGCTTCACTGTTGCTGTGGTGACAGTCCAGCTTGCCAGGAGAGTTCCAGCGTCAATAACCTAGGTCCTGACCCCAGCGGGCTCAGCCATCGGCCCCTGTACCTGAAAACTACAACTCCCAGCAGGCTCAGCGCCTGCGCAGTGTAACGGGCTGTCCCGGCGCCTGAGCACCTAGTGGGGACACTAAGGCTGGGGACAGAGGAATGTGGAGGAGACTTGGCTCGCTGAGCGTTGTAGGCCCCTCGTCTCTCCCGGCCGCCCGGGTCGGAGGGGTCTGGGTTCTAGGACCGTTTGAGGGGAGCAGTGGGCATCGCCCCGGTCGCCATGGTGACGGGCCGTCTCCGAGAGCAGAGAGGATTCACGCGCGCGGGGTGGAGGGGGAATCCAGAGATGGACGTTACCATGGTAACCCTGGAGCCAAAGGGGCGGGGCGAGAGCAAAAGGGTTGGTGGTGACATGGGAGGAATAAGAGACCGGAAAATGGGTGCCCTTGGGGAGTGATGGAGGAATCGGCTTGAGATACGAGGAGTTGGGGTGCTTCTAGGGGAACTGGAGTTTTGAAGGAGTGGGAGTGTTTTAGTGAATTCATATGTACTAGGGATTTACCGAGGTCACTGGAAAGACCAGTACGCTCATAGGTAACAGATGATTTGGGGGAAGTGGAAATGCAGTAGGGGCGTCTATCACTCAGAAATCATCTGCAGAGCTCCTACTGTGTGCCAGGCACAGCCGGATTTTGGAAATGCAGTGGCGAGAGGACAGATGTGACCGCAGAGGAGTTAGGGGGTTCCGGGAAAGGGAGGGAGGGCGTTGTCCCCACGGGAGGGGGGCAATTGAGAGGAATTAGAGCGATATGGAGAAGCTGGAGGCTTTACAAGGAATTGCTAAGTGCTGTAAAGAATAATGTTGAGAGAGGATGGGGTGACTCTTTAGACGAACTGCCCAGGGGTGGCCCTTGGGAGAAGGTGGCTTTTGAGCAGAGGCCTAAGGGATTGAACTGGCATGTGAGGCAGGAGGAGGTGCGAGAGGCCCTCAGGAGGAAGCCTGGGGTGCCTGTTTGGGGCCCTTCACTCCATCTGGCCCCGGGGCCTTGCTGAAAGAATGGAGGGGTGTTGGGTGGACCAGCCCAGTTTCCCTCCACTCTGTGCCTCTGACCCTCCCCCAGAAGTCAAGAACTCAGCATGGAAACCAAAATAATACTGTTTTATTCCTGCCTTGGAGCACTATAGTCCCGCTTGTTTTCCTCCCCCACTGGAGGCCCCCCAGACTCCCAGCACCCCTCTTGTTGGGTCTTCTGAGAACGACCAATAGGAAGGTGAGGGATCCAAGCCTCCAGGCCTTGGACAGATACCCAAATCACTCCCTCTCCTGTCCCCATCTCTCACAGTTGTCCTTGTCGTGTCTCCTGTTCTTCCCCCTCCCCCGCCTCCCTCTGCCCTTCGGTTTCTTCTCCAGTTCTGCCTCTCCGCTTGCCCAGTCTCCTCCCTTTCTCTCTCATCTGCTCCCCTGACCTCTCCTCCAAGTTTCCTCTTACTTTCTTCCCTGCTTTGCCCCTGCCCCTTGCACTCCCTGGACTTGACCAGTCTACTCCCGCCAGGCTGTCACGAGAGCCTGGTGTCCTCCCCTCCCTGTGTGTCCTTTCTTCCTTCTGCCCCAGCCTGACCCTGTCTGTACCTCCTGGCCACCAGCATCTTCCACACCTGTGACTCCAGGACCTTGGAGACCACTGACAACTTCCCCTGGGACCCAAAGAGGCCAACTGCCAAGACGAGGTTCCTGGGTGGCCCAGGAAGTAACCAGAGGGGCTGGGGTGGCCTCCTGGGCCTCAGCCTTATCTTTGGGGTCACGGAATGCCCCCCGCCTTCACAGTGGAGAGTGGCGGGCAGGAGCCTGAGGGTCAGGACTCCGGGGCTCTCCCCCAGCAGTCCCTGAGCAGGTCCACGTGGAATAAGGCCGCCCCGGTGAGGAGGCGTGCGGCGAAGAGGTGGCGGCAGGGCAGATGCCGGGCGGCGTGGATGGAGCAGCTGCAGCGCGTCAGGGCCCCGTCCAGGAAGAAGTCCGAGGTGCCGTCCTTAAGGGCAAAGCCAGCTCCAGTCATATGGAAACCCCGGGTCCCATGCTGCCTGGCAAAGGCCAGCTCCTCGGCCACCAGGTCGGCCAGCTCTGGCCCACAAGCTGCTCGGAACTTGGCCAGCGGCTCCCAGTCCACCTCCTTCGGTCCTGACGGGCAACAAGGTCTCTTTGGTTCCCTTGGGCCTTCTCCTTCACTTACTTCCTGCAGGCTGTCCCCTGCAGCCAGGCACGCTCTTCTTGTCACTACCCATTGTGGATCATCCTCAAACACAGTCCCCATAGGGGTGCCACGCGTGACTCCATTCCCCAGCCCTAGACACCTCCCTCCGGTGTCCACACACTCCCTTCCCTGCCCTCCTCTGCTCTTGGGACCCCCAGACCGAGCTCCCCCTCCATCTCCATTCTCTAGGCCTGTCACCCTTGTGTCTCCCAGCTGAACCAGAACTATGTCCTCCAGGTCCCTTCTTCTTTTGACCCCCAATCTCACTCCTCTCTCTTCTCTAATTTCTGGCCCTCTCCTCTCCTCTCCCCAGTGGGGCCCTCTTTGGTCTCTGTTCTCAGGGACCAACCCCCGGGCCTTCTCTAAATGGACCCCCCTCCAGGTTCTGACCTCCAACCTCCCTCCTTTCTCTGCTTCCACTTGAGGCACCTTCTGGTCCCTGGTTTTCAGTCCAGGGACCTTTGCATCATGTCCCTGGACCCCCCTGCAGGTGCTCCCCTCCAGGCGCCTGGCCCTCTCATAATCAAGCTGAGTCCTCCTCTGGTCCGTGGCCTGCAGAACTCGAATCCTTCGCTCCTCCAGCTGGGCCATCCTCCAGGCACACCCTTCCAATCTTCTCAGGCCCTGGTCCTCCAAGTGGGCTCCCCTCCAGACATAACCGCCCAGCCCCCAGTCATTCACACCCTCCAGGTGGGCCCCCCTCCAGTCTCTGATCTCTAGCCCCCTCAAGTGCTCTTTCTCCAGCTGGGACCTTCCCCAGACACTCCCTTCTAGCCCTTTCACCTTATGGTTCTCCAGCTGGACGCCTCTCCAACATCGGATGTGCACCCCTCTCTCCTTCTCACTTTCTAACTGAGTCCCACCCCGGTCTCTGTTCTCCAGTTCTCTGGCCCACTCCAACTGGGCGCCTTTCCAAACGCTTCCTTCATTTGGGGCCCCTCCCCAGTCTCCCTTCTCCAGGCCCTTTGCTCTCTCGTTCTCCACCTGGGCTCCCCTCCCCCGTTCCCCCTCCAGCCATGGACTACCTCCTTCGAGGCCATCGAGCGCCACCTCTCCGGACGCATCAGCCCACTGCATGGCCACCAGGTCGCGAAGGCACTGTGCCATGCTGCGCGAGGGGCTGAGGCGGCGCAGCAGGCGCCGGCGGTGGCCGCGCACCAGGGCACACGCGTCCAGGTCGCGAGCTGCCTCGAAGGCGCGGAAGCGCACCCACATGTCGTGGCGGGACGCCCAGTTGCGCTCGAAGTAGTCGACGAAGGCGGCTGGGCCGTGGGCTCGCAGCTCCGCCAGCGCCTCGGCGTAGGCGGCAGGTGACAAGGCGCCGGCAAGACGACACAGCCGCGGCCACAGGCCTGGGTC